TGTCCATTTCTCCTTGTTTTTGTTCCTCTCGTGTGGGTTTCGACTCGCTCCGCTTTTGTTGTTGCCATTAAACCTACTCACCTCTTCGCCTAACCCCCTCCTGCTTTTGCTGCTTTTTCTCCCTCCTGCTGCTCCTCATGGGGAATTCTTCCAGGCCGTGATAAGAGCTCCGTTTGGGATCAACTAGAGGATGCTGCCATGGAAACCTTTTCACTAAGTAGGGCTGATCTCTTGCCTTTGCCCTTTAATTCCTTTGTGTTTGTGGAGCGTATCCACGGTTCACCCCAGCTAGCTCTGTGTTTAATCTCTGTGGGGTTTTCTTTTTTCCTTGCACATCTGTGTTAAACATACAGAGGGGTAGAGCATGTAAGCAATAGGAAGACGTCTCACAGGAAGATCACAGTTAAACTAGGAGCTTTTAGTTAATGTTTCTTTGATTTTTCTGTTCACAAACATTTTCCGTCTTACTTTTATTTTAACCTAACAGCCTAACATTTCATGGGTTTGCACACTGGATGAGTGTTGCCTTTAAGTGCTGTTAGAGATGTAATTACCAGCTGAACACACTCAAACAACCAGCTGGTGAGTGATACTGTTAAATGTCAAGATTCCTAGTGACCAATTACCACATTGTAATAGGGGTGAGAAAAAATGATGTAATGGAAAGTGAAAGCAACTAATTTGAGGCTAAAGGAGAAAAAAAAAGCTCCACTAACTTGTTATTTTGGAAAGGTTACAAAAACGGCACTTAAAAGCTACAGCAGACAAAACTGTACCGTGTGTGTGTTTTTAACTAAACTATTTTGGTTTAGTTTTCATTGGACCTGTTTTGATGTGCGCTTAATTATGCTGATCCAAATGTTCCAGTAAACCTTATTGTGTGTAAGATGTGTTAACGACCAGCATATATCAGACCCTGATACACGCATATTTTCTCCTGTTATAGAAATGTATGTAAGTCTTTGAAAGAGCTTGCACTTGTGGCTGCATGTGGTGTAGTTTGTGTTAATATGTTACCAGCCAAGGTGCAGACAGAGAGGATTTTCAAATTTTGGGGAGCTTCATCTGTCTTCTTGATGTTTCTAGGTAAGGAGCGCTCCACACTTTGGGACCAGGTGCAGTTCTGGGAGGATGCCTTCTTAGATGCTGTTATGTTGGAGCGTGAGGGCATGGGCATGGACCAAGGACCCCAGGAGATGATTGAAAGGTTCCACTTGGCCATTGTTTTAGTTCAGCCAGTGTGATTTATGTTAATTTTCATATGCTTTTTTTTTTTTTTTCTCTTTTCTTGGTCTTAGTTTTTTCACTATGTTGCATCACTGTTTTCATATCTACTCCATGGAACTCATTGTGGACTGTAAATAAGTTCTTCTGTGTTGCATGTCAACACAGATACCTGTCACTGGGAGAACATGACCGCAAGCGCCTGGAGGATGATGAAGACAGACTTTTGGCCACCCTGCTGCACAACATGATTGCATACATGCTAATGATGAAAGTATGGAGTGCTTTTTGTCAGTTCATTCAAAGCACAGTAAAACTGTTTGTTAATACACACAAATTTTTGTTTCCCTGTGAATATCTTAACCTTTGAGGTTTGTTTTTGTTTGTTTGTTTTCATGTAGGTGACCAAAAATGACATCAGGAAGAAAGTGAGGCGCCTGATGGGCAAGTCCCACATCGGCCTCACGTATAGCCAAGAGATCAACGAGATACTTGACAAACTGGCTCAAATGGTAAACATTTGTATTAGTTTTATTTCACCCAGTTAAACTTCCGTTCATTGTTTTGATGAAATATGTGCTGAACTACATTTGCAGAACGGCCGAGAGCTGTCCATCAGGCCCAGCGGAAGCCGTCACATCAAGAAACAAACATTTGTTGTTCATGCTGGCACTGATACTACAGGAGACATCTTTTTCATGGAGGTATGCAAAGTCTGCATTTTATGTGTACCGTCTCCCTAATGACTTGGTCACATTAGAGTAAAAATAGGAGGGCATTCTGCTTGTGACTAGGAAGAATTTGTGGTTTGTCAGATTGATTACTAGTTACAACTTTTTGCTCACAGGTTGAGCAGGTAACCGCCGTCAACCTCCGGACAATTGCACAGGTTGCCTGTTGGGAACAACTGATCTCCAAACAATCATTTTCTGACTTGGTCTGATTGTATCAAACTCAGACAGATTGTGTATCTCTTTGCAGCAGGGGACTCAACTGTTACACTGGTCCTAGATAAAAGCAAGTTTGCAGAGTGCTTATATTATTTTGCAGTTAAATTGCTGTAATGCAGCAACTGTGTCACTATTTGTGAAGTAATTTCAGATGGTTGAGGTTCTGGCTACACTCTAAATGTAAGTAGACGATGTGCATTTCTGTGTATGCAAATGGCAACAGATTTGTAATTTTCACATTATTATAAATGGTGTTCGTGTAACTGCCGACTTGACCTCCAACCAATAGCAGATTGAGTCCATTTCACTGCCAAATTGGTGCACTAAAGTTGCTTTGAAGATGGCAACCATTGACGTAACCATTTCATAGATGAGATTGGGAGCTCATTACACAGTCGCAGTAATTTTAGGTCATGCTGTGGTCTTAAACCACTGTTTTCACCAGTGTGCCTGTAGCATAACGCAAAGGTTGTAGCAAAGGATATTTTTCTAACATATCAAATGGTCTCAGAGTGTCTGAAACTTTCCTGAACATAAAAAAGAGTGTGCTTACTTTACTTGTGCTTTATTGTTCCAGGTTTGCGATGATTGCATAGTCCTGCGCAGCAACATCGGTACCGTTTATGAACGCTGGTGGTACGAGAAACTCATCAACATGACCTATTGCCCCAAGACCAAGGTGCTGTGTCTCTGGAGACGCAACGGCCAAGAGACGCAGCTGAATAAGTTCTATACCAAAAAGGTCAGAGGCTTCTTGTGTCTGCATCTCTTGTGTTAAATTGACTTAAGAAGATTCTAAAATCGAGTAACTTTGTGATTGCTTTCCAGTGTCGTGAACTTTACTACTGTGTTAAAGACAGTATGGAAAGGGCTGCAGCAAGACAGCAAAGCATTAAACCAGGTATGGAGTGAGTTAGAGCAACCACAGGCTCCTTTTTGCATTTTATTTCATTCATTATTCTCTTTAACATGGACATTGTTTCTTTTGAGAGTTTGATTGTTGAGTAGTACAAAATAGTATTTTATTTTGATTAATTTAATATTTTAGAGCAGTCAGTATTGCATAGATATAGATATGTTGATAATAACACAAAACATGGACAGACCTAGTGTTTAATAAAGCACTGCTGCAGTTTTGAAATTTCCAAGTACTTCCAGGTTGTTTAAGGTAAGAAGAACATGTGACAAGCTTTCAGACATTCCTGTTCCTGTGTCCATCCTTCAGGTCCCGAACTGGGCGGCGAGTTCCCCGTCCAGGACATGAAGACTGGTGAAGGTGGACTACTGCAGGTCACACTGGAGGGAATCAACCTTAAATTCATGCACAGCCAGGTAAGAGACCAGTTCTACTGCAAAGAAACTGCGTCTCATCTCACAGAAGGGCATGACAATGTAGAATCACTCATGATGGTTCAGACTTCATCGTCCTTCTGTCCACCCTCTCCGCTCGTCTCTCGTGTTTGCCTCTGAATCATTTCCTTTCATCGTGTGACGTCTTCCTCTATCACTACGAAAATCTTTACAACACATTTGATTGGCATCTACTCATACCTGTTTTTCCCATAGAGGAAGAATTCCTGTTTGTGCTTTTGCTTTTTTTGGATTTGCCCCCCCCCCAGTTTCCGTTTGTTTTTTTTGTGTGTGTGAGTGTGAGTTTATTTCTGTGCATGTCTTTGCCAAAAAATGAACCCATCCTTCCACACAAGTTTCTTTTGACATCTGTGGTGCTCAGATTTCATGTTGAGTTACTGTGTGGGAGGAGATGTTAATCTGTTCGTGTGTGTGTGTAAGAGTGACGTTCCACAGTGGTAAGACGGATGACCTTGAGAAAAGACTTTTCATTAATAATTGGCTATTTTATAGCAACCTTTGATTTTAAGTTTGGACTCCTTGAACATCTTCATGTGTTGTCTTCATGTCTGAGCAGTAGCGATAGTTGGGTGCTTTGTGTCCACAGGTTCATTTAAAATGTGTAGCTCTGATTGAACTATGCTGAATAATACAAATTAGGGGAAGAAGTGTTCGTTGTTAGATACCCACTAGCTTTAAACTGACATCAGTTCACCCGAGGTCCTACGTTTTTGTTTTTGTTTTTGTTTTTTTGTTTTTTTTTCTCCTCTTAGAAAATTCTGCAGCAGTGGTGTTCTGGGTAATTTGGACGGTCCATCACACTGCAGAGACCTGTCATTGGACCCACTTTCCACCCCC